CATAAATCGCGTCGCGATGCCTACGGTGAAAAAAAAAAAAAAGAAAAAACAAAAAAACGGAAAAAAAACCGGCATAACCCGTGCGTGTAAACGGTTGGGTCGCATAGCCGGCAGTTGCTCTCCCGACTAAAACGCTTGAAAAAGTCTCGCGATTGCGCCAACCAGCGTTTAACCCGTTATTCGAGGCTATATTGCGGCAAGGCCATCGATACGTAACAATCCGCCTCTGTCAACAATAATTGCCGCGTCCACGTTTTCCTACGATGCTCGGTGAAATAAGAAAAGAGGAGAGGAGAGGAGAGGAGAGGAGAGCTCGCTTTATTACCGTTATTGTCGCATGAAATTCCTTTCGTCGCCGTACCGAATTCGCACCGAAAGCGATGAGCGTTGAATCATTAAGCTGTCTCGTGAATCTTAAGCTGTGCGAACGAGATACAATCATTGACAAATAATAATATGCGAAATGATAAAAATTTAAAAATTTTGTCGAATCGATACGAATTCCACACACGTTGTAGCGTAGATATTATCGTTTTGTGAATTGAATTTTGCAAATTTTTGAAATTGGATCAATTGGAATGGAGGAGAATCGCAATTGAGAATCTTGCCTAAGTGCTATACAAAATATACTTATGGCATATAATAATTGATCATCGAATTGATGGATTATTGGGGGCAAAAGATTGAATGTCGTCGTCTCGATCAAAAATTCAAAATGATCGATTTCTAAAAATGAAAATTAAACTCGACTCGACTACCGGGATATCGATATCAAACTTCGATATTATCTTCGCTTCGGACGATCTCGAGCTCGCATCCGCGTACAACTCGAAGCGGTTTACGCGGGGAAACCGCACAGACCAGGATGGACACCTCTCTAACAAGAAGAAATCGATTCTTACTCTTCGATCTATCTTTCAAGGCTCGTGTTACGTAAATCGACGACGCGATGGCGTAAAACGAGCAGCAAAATCTCAAGTCGCGCGTGGAATTTCAGCGAGCAAACAGGTAGCTAGAAACGAGGAAACGAGCTTCCGGGAATTTGAGCCGATGGAAAAATAAATTCCAACTTCGAAGATCGACTCGACACGCATGCGAGTGTCGGTGGTTTCTCGTATATCGTCCGTGGATTTTCCAACAACAATTTAGCGCGGTTTCGTTCTGTCGCGGATCGAACGAAATTCCTTCGTCAAAACTGAAGTCCCCAACCACGACTCGAGGAATCGAGCGAAATTTTCCGGCTATCTCGAATTATTCTGTCCACGAGCAGGCTGGCTCGAGGGAGAAGAAGTTAACAATTCGTGGAAACTAGATTTCATCGAGGCATAATCGAGTTGAATTTTTAATCGGCCTACTGTTGCCGGCATCGTACAACCGGTTTCTGAAAGACGAACGAACTAATCGAATTAAAAACGCTCATGAATTTTAATACTTCCGCCACGACGGTGAAATGAGTACAGCCGAATACCGATTCCGTCTCGATCCCGACGAACAACCGGAATGAATCGATCGATCGATTGTGCAATCCCGACGTTACGCGCGAGGTTATGTTATTTTCTCCTTTGTATTCCGCCCGTGTCTCACGGATTTATATTACTGTTCGTGAATACCTATCCCGATACTTTGATCAACTTTTTAATAAATGGGTTCTATCAAATGTAAGAAAATTAAACTTCTTTTTTTTTTTAAATTACAAGATATTATAATTATATTATTCTTGTTAACAAGTTTCGTTATACGATTTAATTTTCGTTATATTTAAAAGTTGTATTGACATAGTTAGCTGATGAATTTGATTAGAAGTAAGTGGGAGTTACGTTGTTGATTATTCGATACAAGGGAGGAGAGGGAGGGGAGAGGCTAATGACTGTGAGCGATCAAAGTTCAAAGGATTGTAATAATGATATCGTCGTAATTTTAATTTTCAGATTTTTCTGGATTCGATATTTTCGTTTTTCCAGAATATTTCTTTAAATTAATTAACAAATTTCTAGAACTTTATCGAACAATTTCGTGTTAATAATTTTGAAAATAAATTACGTTTCAACAACAATAGTGTGTACGCGAGACTCGAAAAATTGACACAATTGTGATAAAAGAAGCAGTTAGATCGCTGCTTCTCATCAAGGAGTTTGATTCTCCTTGAATATGCGTTTGCTGTTTGTTCATTTTATCTCTCCACGCGTAGCACGTCGGAAGTATAACGTGACACGATTATGCAACCTCACGAAGAAAACAGAACGAGTATTTCGCAAAAGCGAAGACCTACGAACACAAATTCCTCCATCACTGCTAAAACGTTGTCTACGCGCGGACAAATAATGGAAATAAATGGAATAACAAGCCTAGAAAAATCTGAAAATTAAAATTAAAATAAAGACGACGATGTCACTATTACAATCCTTTGAACGATCACTCGTAGATCATTAGCCTCTCCCCTCCCCCTCCTCCCTCGTATCGAATAATCAACAACGTAACTCCCATTTACTTCTAACCAAACAAATTCATCAGCTAACTGTGTCAATACAATAAACTTCGCCCCGTAAGAGGTTTTCAGAACAGACCGATAAGACCTTGGGGGAAGGAAAACTTTGGTCGAAGAAGAGAGGGAGAAAAGAAAAAGGAAGAAAAAGGAAGCAAAGAAGCAAGCCGTGAAGAGTCCGATTGTGGGTCACACCATGTCCCACTTTCTCTTCTCTCCTTTATGGAGGAATGGAGAGAAGTAGTTACACAAGGATTCCCTTATCGATAAATTACAAAGGCAATATCATTAAGTTAAACAATCCATTTTCTTGATTTATGGATGAAGAGAAAAATTTGTTGAAATCTATTCTCTTGTATAAGGATAGCGTATACGCGAGGAAAAACTGAGACGGTATTGTCTATTCGTAATATTTATTGACCACAGAGTTCGCAAACAGGGTGATTCTCCCATCGATAAATTACCAAAACGATATCTCGTTGTCTAAACACACCATTCTCTTGATTTTGAGACCGAAATCCCTTTTGCCAGACGATTGTCGACGACTACTATCACAGCGAAGATAATTATAAATATTCGTGTTACAAGCTGAAATATACCTCGCAAATAGAAACCAATTTTTCTACATTCTACTTCCAAAGAAGAAACTTTTTTACTTCTATACAACTCGGATTTTCAAAGTTCTCCAAATACTTGCTAACAAACGTTCAACAAAATTATCTCGAAAATACATAACCGCAACGAGAGAATAACCTTAAAGTGTAAGCACCTCTTCCTCCGCCATTATTCAGAAAAATATTCCACGAGGCAAGGCAGAGAAGAAAGAGAAAAAAAAGCACGATTTAATCGATCCGATCGATGGAAGGAACAAGGGGCATCAGGTGAAACGAGGGAAAGGATGGCAATCGGCGCGCTCTGTCAAGCGGACAGACAGTTCTTCGGTGGAAATTTAGCGATGGGGAACGGAAATAGCCGCGAGACTTGGTGGATCCGGGTTGCAAAGGGATCGAGGGCGCGAGCGTGGACACAAGGGAAAGAAATACGCTCGATGCAAATTCCCTCGGTTTCCCCGTTGCAACATAATTACCTCGCGGAATGGTTAAATCTGGCCGGGGTGCGGGAGGAGCGTGAAAAAGGCCGACTACAAAGCGATAATGCCGGAAACGAGCGGAGATGCAAATGAGAGTCGCTGTTACCCGTGGACAGAGACGAGAAACAGAGGGGGGGAGAGGGAGGATCCACGGTGACCATCCCGGTGGTGGAAAGCTCGCAGGTGTACAATGTAATCGATTCTCGCGATCGAAACGAGCGCGGAGAAGCGAAGCTTTGCCGAGGGATTAGCACGATTATCCGAATAATTAGCCCGGAGTTGGGAGGGAGGATGGCACGGCAAATAAAGCTTCCGTCCGAATTCGAATTCCATCGGTGTATATTTGCTCGCATAGCAAGCGTTGCACGCGTTGCCCCCCGGACGTGCCATTGTTTCCCCGCGAAAAAGGGGTAAAAATTTTGGAACGGGGAAACGAGCCGGGGCAACGAGCGAGTTACGTTAATTCGACGATGGGGGCGGTGGTTTGTTCGATTAATTTCGTGAGAAATCGTGCGTGATCGATTTCCGGGATGATTAACGACAAATAAACGTCGCTCGAAATCTTGATTTCTACGAGGATTTTCTACGACCCTTTTTGCCCCTTGGAATTTAATCGAGAAAGAGAGACGGTGATAAAATTTCGTATTGTTTGCATTTTGGAGATGATATGAATTATGAGGCAAAAGGGTTGAAGATTATCAAGTATCGTTGAAATTTTTTTTTTTTTGATACGAGCGAGAAGATGAAATTCTCTGACTATTGTTATAATAATATATCGTTTATCCAATTGTCCAATTAGGATCACTTAATATTTTTAACACGTTCCCGTTTTTTTTAGTAAAATTGAAAAGAACGAGCGATATTTTGATGACTAAAAAATCATTATATTTATAGAATTCGGAAATTAAAAATTTGGAGTAATTACTTCCTACAAGTAGATAGTAATAAATTAATTGTCAACGAAAATCTCTTTTAAATAGTCAAGGATAATTTCCCATTTATGACATAGTTAAATTTTCATACGTGATCCTAATTTAGTGACAAGGGGCTGTATTAGACATGATTAAACGTCGCAATTACTCTAATTCCAACGAGTATACTTAACCGTTATACGGTGTCTCTAATATGATATCGTGCAGAAAATACGGCACATCCTGTTGCAACGAAATGCACCGGCATAATTTCATCTAATTTTATCATTCCAACTACCGTTCCACGTAAAAAAAAAAAAAAATGGCTTTCGATACCGCGGATAATATAATACCTCGCTACGTGATTCTAGAAATATCCTATCCCGTGGTTCATTTAGATTTAATCTCCGTGATAACGCCACGATCATGGAGGAACGACACGATCGATAGGTCGAGGGATAAGCGCGGTTAGGTATAAAAGAGCGATAAAAGTTTATCGTAAAACACAATGACTCACCGAGCGCTTTACAGCTTACACCGTGAAGGGAGTCTCCGGCGAGTTGAATGATGGCCATGAGAAGATCACCGAGCATCAGGCAGGTGACATGATGAGTCTGGCAGCGCCAATGCAGAACGTGATGAGAGGCTGGCAGCAGCCAACCGGCGGCCAACGTGGCTGCCAGAAAGACCACGCTAATGATGAAGCCCACGGGGTACAAGGTGAACCTGATGTCGGCCGCTTGCATTATAGGTCTGAAAAGTTTTCAAACCAGAACGATTTCTTTTTAATCAGTTAGTTTGATTCCTTTTGCAATCTATCGATTATAAATTTGAATTGAAAGCAAATATGATTGATAATGATAATTGTACTCTAGATTTTTTAAAAAATAAAAGATTGTAAATTTTATTTCAACTAAAAGCTTTTCATTACATTATTTACATTTGCATTAAAATTAAGGACTTGTAATTAACTAGGACGATTATTGGATATCGATATAGGGGGATCAATATCAAGAAATTAAAAATTATTAGAAATCATTCGGTGACATTGAACGTAACGTTACAGTATGCTATTTCAAACACCGAATCGACATTTTCTATTTCGGTAACATCCTGTTCGTTCCGTGAAACGCGCATTCGTGTCTCAAATTTCGACGTAAATCCATGACCCATTCTCCAGAAACTACGACCGCGCCAGTGAAAGTTTCAGAGAAATCGTTTCTCCGAGTTTCGTGGAGCGATCCAGGCCCACATTCACATCGTCAATCTGGTGTCTCCAACACCAGTTAAAAGGAGAAAAAAGAAAAAAAAGAAAAAAAGAAAGAAAAAAACACCAGACTTTTCCTAGTTAATCAGCGCGTGTAGGCATGCATCGCGCTAACACGCGTTATGTAGGATATATATTTGAACGGTGTTTTCTACGCGATGGTATTCGCTTTCTTTCTATCTAACTTCCATTCGTAGAATAGATCGAAGTTATTGTACAAGAAGAATATTTTCAATGAAAAGTTGAGAGTAGGAGGTAGGAATGCGAATGAGTTTTGCTTGCGAAAGCTTTCCTCTTCGCATGTAAATGATCGCGTTAATCTAGTTTCGAGCGTTGTTTTGCAAATTGCGAGCGAAACCAGCACACACGCGGTTTCCGTGTGTGCAATTTCTATTAACGGCCATCCGTTCCAGAGTGGCACATAGATGAAAAAGAATCTCGAAGAAATCTCCTTTCCGGAATGTGTCTCGTGATAATTAAGATCTGCAAGATCAGACTATTTCCTCTTCCGGGGGTGTATTCTCACTTTTGCAGTTTGTTTGATGAGGTTAATTATCTTTCCGCTCTGTTTCGTTTCTCGCTTATGAATGCGAGTTCAAATGGAAGATTAATTTAAGATTTATGCTTTTACTTACAACGCTTGTAAAAATTCTTTTTTAAAAACTTGATTCTATCTATTTTTCTTTTGGATAAAAATTGACGATTCGTTGATTTCTTTTTTTTTTTTTAATTTTTAAAAAATTATTCGGATGGAATATCTTGATTAATCACGATGACAATTCACAAGGAGACTCCTCTACTATGTCGCATAGAATCTAATTTCTATCGTATAAAATATCCATATCAAACCTTTCTAAAATCATAGACAGGAACGAAAAACTCGATCAACATTTCTCTTCGTAATCGATACGATAATACACGATACGTATCATCCTCAACGTAAACGGATGACGCGGCGCGCCGAGAGCGCACGGATATGACCTAGAAATTCTTCGAGAGAGGAGTGAAAGTGAGGGACCGACTTTTTCTCGAAGAAACGGCCAACCGAACCTCGTCTCACTCATCGAGCATGCAATTAAGCCGTGCGATAAATCCAGATCGAGGCGGCCGATATCGAGATCGGGCAAAAAGCCGATTCGTGCCTCGAACCTCCAAGTAGGACAGAAACTTGGATCCAGCACGTCCTCTTAAAAAACGAACGATGAATTCAACGATTGTCGATCGATTAAAAAATAAATTTAATAAAAAGAACGGAATCGTAAAACAGATTGTTTTATACGTGATTGTTTTGCGGACAATGCTTCGTTCATTGTTCATTTTTCTTGAATAGGAAAAATTTAGAAGAGTACTCGTGTGTTATGCAGTCATATTTCGTTCGTTAATTTAATTTCGTTTAATGAAGATACGTACGTTGAATAGAACGTTCGTTGCGTTCGTTCTCGAGAAGGAGAGACCGCGAGATAACGAGAGAAAATCAGCTTGTAACGTGGCCGGAAACTAGAGGAAAAATAGCGAAAGATCGATGCGTACCTATGTACGATTACGTAAGCAGGATTTCAGGAAGTTGGCTTACGTTCAAGAGCCATATTCTTCATTTTTTATTAAGTAATTTTCTACATTTTCTTTTTTTTTTTCATGATACGCGAGAGAAACCAAATCGTTAATATTTGATATACTAATTTTTTTCACCGTATCAAATTTTTAAATAATCCAAAAAAATTCTAGTTAGCATATTTTCGACTATAAAGTGACTATTAAAGACTATTAAAGAGATTTTGAATAAGAAATTTTGTATAGGAAAATTAGATGGAAATTTCGTTCGAATTGTTAACGACCTAGTTCGCTCATTAAGGAAATTCTTTGAGTTATTTAACATTAGACGTGCAAATTAATACGACCTTATTCCAAAGTAAATTAAAATTTCACAAAATAACCTCCATTATTCAATATCCTGTAGACTTAAAAAATACTTGATAAATGCATCTTCAAAACTGCCATAATTCAAAGACCATAATTAAAGGATAAATTTAAAACCTTTACATTGATTTGCACCTCTAATGTAATCACTTTTCCAATATCTCTCTTCTTCTTTCAGATCCGTTCTACCTTTCAATTTCTTCAATCAAACCTTACAATTTTATTTCCTTATACTATAACCTTTTCAAATATATTTAACCTCTCAATTTCTAAACCTTAAATTTTCATTTCCCTATATTATACCCTTTCCTAATCCAATATTTCAATTTCTATTAAATTTTATTTCCCTATTCCGTATTTTTGATCGTCAAACGATCGACTATACGGACTACGAAACGACGATCAAAGTGTCCAACTCACCTTTGCGATGCGTTCTCGGAGCAAGCGAAGACCTTGGACACGTGATTCAGTTCCTTGATCCTCTCGACGCAGAACTTGCCACTGGGTAAAGTGACTCCGTCGATTTTCAGGCCTCCATCCGGCAACAATACGGCATCTTTCGCATCTCCCAAAATCGTAAAGTTGTCGGAACGAGGACACGTTGGGAAACCAGGCACTATATCAACAGAGGCGGACGCATTCGGCAATAAAGGTGTTGGATTCGCGGCTTCCTTCAGATGGGCGCACGAATGTCTGAAACGATTGGTAAAAATTTTTCCAATACGAGATTCCTGCTTTGTTTCGAAATCATCGATTAAGATGGATTAACGCGAGGGATATAAATGAAGGAAAAGAAACACTGGTGCTAGTAGAAGGTATGATTAATGATGTAGGAACGTAGTTTCAGTAAGATGAAATTGAGGTGAAAGGATTAGGTAGCGAGTGTATACAGGTCAGGTGTTAATGAGAGGCGCTTTGGAAATTTATGGACTTTTATTGAGTGGTGGATTGAGCAAGATGAATTGGGTAAGGTTAAGATACATTAAATCGTAAACTCATTGTTTAGAGTAATAAGTTTTTATTGAATATATAAATTGTTTCTTGTGTAAGAGATAATTGACCCGAAGACGTGAATTCGATGTATAAATAAAAAAAAGAATGGGCTACTTATTTTTTAAAAATAAATTTAAAAAGTTTTAGGAAGATTCACGATTCAATTTTTTAAATAGAAATTTGTTTTCTACCGTATATTTTAAGATTAATATCAAAATATTTTCAAAATCCTGTTTAGTTATATATAATTCGTAAAATTAAAATAATCAATTTTAAATAATATTCTATAATTTTTAAATAAAAAACAGAATTAAAATATTTGATAAATAGAAAAATATTTATCTGATCCGGCTCTTTCGAATTTGCCCAACATCACGATACTTTTAAAAGTTCAAAAAATCGGCAAAGAAGCGTAATAATTTAAGAAAAACGTCGAGTCATTTTTCGTCATGGAATTTCCAAGCATATCGTATGTACACGGTGTTCGACGGTGAACGAACAGGTCTCGAGCGAGAAAGAGCAAGCACCCAAACCGCTACCACGAGCCACAAATGGAAAAAGGAACAAGAAGGTGCACATATATCGTATCGCAAGAATTTATCTAGGAAACGCGGTGGCTGGCTGCATAGAATGCCAACAAAGTCCACGGAACGCCCAAGCTTGAGCGATTGGGTGCCCGATTAAAACGAAGCCCGACATTTTTTGTTTACTCGAGCGTCACGCTTGCATCGCAAACAGGGGCTATTTTCCGAGGGAAATGTCCGCGCAACTTTCGAACGAATTTATTTTTTTTTTTTTTCCCCTCCAGGAGGGTTGGCGTCAAACGACAAACCGGTGCCTCTCAATAAAAATACACCGGGAGCAGGGTAAACCGATAAATTTTGTGTAACCGACCGAAACGATTACAGTTACATTCCCGAAGATAGCCGGCTCCACCACGAATACGAATCATCGTGAATATTTGTCTGCAAAGAATATCGAACCCCGATAACTTATTCAAATTATGCAGTCTGTTTGGACGTTAAACCATATGAATTTAATTTACCTCCGTGTTTTCACGTTTTGTGTGCTTATGAACTGTGCCGATGAGATATTTGGCTGTTTTTCGCGTGTGACTCAGTATTCGAGATTCTTCTTGAAAAATAAATCGAAAACGTAGAATAGAATAGAAATTTTCGCATTCGAACACGTGTTTTGAGATAAAATAGGTTTGAAAATTTAACAAGTTTTGTTAATTCTTGACTAAATGAATAATTGGTAAAATGATATTTGATAGTATTTTAATTTTTTATACCTCGACTATCAGATAATCGAATTTGAATACGTTCAATCAATGTATATAACAAAAATATAACTTCGAATTTATCTATTTATTATATTATTAATATTATTTTCTATTTATTTTTGTAAAATCGAAATAATCCCGTATACAGTCAAGAATTAACCGAATTTTCTTAAAAACGAAATTTCAAATGAAAACTTCTTTCGCGATTGCACCATAAATATATATATTTCTATATATAAATATATAGAACATTGTGAAACAAATATTAATCGTCGCCAAAACAAAAATTATTACGTTTCATATTTTCTAAGAACGAAATATAAATACACAAATTATATTATCGAACTATGTATCCGTATGTATCCTTATTATCCTATGTATCCTTAACGTTTTTACCAATAACCTAAATTATCAGACTTATTTTCTTATCACGCGAACTAAACAAATATAAACAAGACCTATGAAAATTCCATGAGATGAGATTATATCAAAATACTTACATTTCTTCGTAGAAAGCCGCATTTTCTCCACAGCATTGTCTAACTCGTGGCCTCATCGTATTAGCTGCATGACTGCCGTTCATTTTATTTTTCATACACACGAGCAAGGCATTAGAATCGGCGCAGTATTCGTTCGGTTCGAATGTGTCGTTCACGTGTATGTCGGGAAGCACGCGACCATCGTCCATGATTACGAATGGATTCGTGTGTCTGTACGGCACATAGGTTAACACCGAATTGTCTTTGCAATCTGGCTTCTTTCCTTCGACGATATTCCATTCTTCTGGCGGAGTATCCAACATCTTTTGTTTGGAAGGCGAATAGATGACAGGTTTCCAATCGAATTGAGTCGATACGCAACGAGACTTGGCGTCCATGTCATTGTCCAATTCTTTCTCCAACTCCTCCATGTGTCGACAACATTTTAGAATCGTCAGTTTCGTTTTCGGAGGTTCGTTCACTGGCTCGCAGAACGTAGAAACAGCTAGTGTCCAGAGAATCGTGAAAAAGTAGATCACCTTCATAGTGAAAACTTTGGAAACAATGGAATGAACGAATGTGACCGAAGAATAAAATCAGACGAACGACACTACATGGAAAAATCGCTCATTCGATATAGCCAATCAGCGATCGATTTGAAAGTTCGATTGTTCGATGTTTGGACAGACGCCACAGACGCCACTATCGTCAAAATTTCACAAATATAATAATTGCGTATCGTATATAATTGCGTCAAAATTCACTCACTCTTCGCGACGAATATTCAATTTCATGTTCGGCGTAGAATATACGAGAATTTTGAGTCGTTTGGGTCACGCGTCTGTCGTGTTTACAAACAGGTTATACACCATTCCAGTATACGTTTATTACATTATATAAAACGCAATAAGCCAATCAGTCTTTTTCTCATTGTGGACAAACGAATCGCGACGTTATTAACGACACGATAGAATATCGACGAAAATTAACACGAAATAATCGTAGATAGAAATATTTTGGCGCGATATCTCGATAGGCGGACGGGTTCGAGATCGGACGTGACTCACTCGCTCGAAGGTATCGAAGTTACTGAAGCAGGCCGACCACGCGGCTGGCTCTCGAGCCACCGGCGGCAGCGTGCTCGGTGTTGCGCGCGCAGCCTTTCACCGCTCCCGCCCTTATTCAACCACCTAACCTTCTTCTTTCTTCACGTCGGATCTTCTCACAATAATGTTCGTCTCTCGTGGGGTGAGTTCGAGCAACCACGTGCTTCCTCCCACTACCTTGCTTCTTTGCCGGAAGTACAACGGTACCTTGCGTGGAACCCTTCCGTTGTTCCTTGGGAAACTTGTCTTCCGTTCTTCTTTTCGATTCTTCTCGCCATTTCCGCACTTTTGTTTACGATGTCGGTGAAAGTTAAGATGAAGATATTTCATTCTTTTGGAGAATTTTTTAATTTACGAATGAGAAAAATAATCGAAATTCTTTTCCATATTTCTTTTCGATAACTTATTTTGGGAAAATTACGATGAAAGATTTAAGATTAATTAATTGATTAATTTATCGATGTATCAGACGAAAATAACTAAAATTCTCCGATTCTGTTTATTATTTCAATTTGCTTTTATTAAAATCGAAATAAAGATATTTATTTGGGAAAATTTAGAATAGATCTTGACTTGAATTTATTTTGATGGGATGAAATTTTAAACCGTTTTACTCATCTGTTCAAATTTCTGTTCTCTTCGCGAGAAATTTGAATATCCAAGTAATTTCTATCTACTCGTATAACCCAAAGTCAACATCTGTTATTACAAAGTAACCAATGCTCAAATTATTTTTCGGTGAAATATCGTTTCCAACAATACACGCGCGAAATCGTACGTGACCGAGAACACGTTCGATTAAAAATACCTAGCGTAAAATAACGACGAGAATCTGGAAATTTCGCACGACGTTAGGCAAGTTAAACGAGCCGGGAATCCAGAGAAAATCGCTCGCCAAGATCTGAAATCTTATGTATACGCCGCTTCCGGGATGATACAATGCTCGGCCGGAATTTGTGAGAAAATATACATACGCCGCCCCTTGCGTTCATTATTATTGACAAAATAAATACATTCACGATCATACGGGCACCGATATCGCGAAATTACCATCTCCGCCTATTTATTTTCACCGTGCAAACTTCCTGGCCGCGACCCGATCCACCGATACGGGGTGAGTTTCCGATCGCGTGCAGGTCGACCGATGATAATGACCGAGAATCAAGGTAACAGTAACGCAAGACCGAGTTCATAAACCATCCACCGAAGGCTGCTACCTACCCAAGACACGGTGAGCACACTTTCCACGTAGTGCTCACCCGCTCGTTCCAGTAATTTATAGTCGCGTTATGTGCGGCGCGAGATTAACAGCGTACAGCACGATCCCGTTCAACGAGGCCAGATCGGACAGACACTGTTCTGTGAACCGTCTTTCGATCTTCGTTACCGCCTATATCCCTCGAATCCTGCTATTTCACCCATTTCCTCTCCGCGGATTTAATCTCGATACGAAGAAAAATCCCTCCGAAGAAACGAGATTCTTCGAGATTCTCGCCGGTATTTTGTAATTAAACTGGCAAACTGTATTGCGGGAGGGAAGAAACGCGTTGTAAGAAAAAAAGAAAAAAAAGAAATTCTCGCGAAACTTCCGGCTGACGATCGATCAGAGCGCAAACATCGAAAGTTTCTCGGGCGTTCGATTATAACACGGTTGAAAATTGTTTCGAACGACGGCCATTATTCTCGCGGGGAGGAGAAGCTTTCTCGGGGTAAAAACCGCTTGGACGGCGCCTTTTTACCACCGTCGAAGGGACAAACAAGACACTGTTCCGAGCCGACAAGCGGAAACGCTTTAAAACTTTCGGACGGTGGCAATTAAACTTCTTCGCCATTTCTGCGAGGCGAAAATTGGAAATTTATGTCTACCGCCGCGGTTTGCTGGCGGTGTGTCTGCGAAATTTTGTCAATTAAAGTATCCTTAGCGCCAAGTAACCGCCAAGTGTTACGAGTCGTGGAAAAAAGTCGAAAAACGATGAAAGGAGAAGGGAAAACCAACGTCAAGTCTCGTTTAACCAGAGAGTCTAGATTAGTCAGAGAGTTATTTGAAATTATTACGGAACATTACGCGAAACTTTCTTCGACGCCGTTTATAATTATTATACTTTTAAACAATTATCGAAAAATTCTTATCGAAAGAAAAAACTCTCGTCGATTTCCGTTCTTTCAGAAAAGCAGAAAGATATTTAAAAAATCTTCAATAATATTAATAAATACACTATACCTTATTACATTAAGAATCTTACGATTCGAATTTGTTACGAACATTCGTTAACTACAAACCTTCACTTGGAAAGATTAAATGACTCTAATCTGAACGAGGCTTAAGAAAGGCAAATTGTTTGTCGCTAGGCCAGCTGCAATTTTTTTTCCGCCTTAATGCGAAGCTTATAACGAAATTAAGGTCGGAGATGTATGCCGCAATTACGCGGCTGTCCCCGAACGGTTGAAATATCGCGGCTACCGCTCGAGCCCAGCCTGTGCAATCGGCTCTCACCGATAAAATCGTTTTTCAAATTTCGTACGAACGCACCACGAGATATATACACATACAATATATATATAATATAATATATATAGAGAGAGAGGAAGAGAGAGGTGCAGTTATCCCGCTGCACCAGGGTTAATAGGCAGCTTTGGAATTCGAAGCAGCACTGGCACGCGTAAATCACGAGGATCGAGGAACGATCTCGCTCGGGTCGCCTCTATCTCTTTCCCATTCCCTCACGTGTACGTACATATACGCGCACCGACGTAACGCGTGCACGCACGTTAATAGGTTTGCGCACGGGGGCGCACGCGCTACATCCCCCTAAACGTAATACAGATTTTATCTACCCCCCCATGGCTCGGCCGTGTCTCGACCAGTAGGGAGAAGGGCCAGACGGTCAGGTTTGATCGAACCTTGTTGCTCGGACGATTTCGAAATCCGGCGAAATCATTGCTCGATCGACCGTTACTCATTAAGGGAATCGAGGATATTGCGTATCCGGTGATCGTATCGCGAAAATAATGCGCTTCGGGGCTAAACGATAATCCGCATCCTACCCCCTCTCCCATCCCTCCCTTCACCCTTTATCTCGTTTATAAATTGTAAAACCCGATCGAACGGGTTTTCGTTTGCTTTTGTTTCAACGCGCTAATTGAACCAATCGAACGGGTGGCGAAACGACGAAAATGAAACGAAAGATGCAACGGTGATCGACGCGAAATATTCAGGAGTCTCGCGGAGGAATCGTCGTGAATGATTGCGATAGTTTATAAGGGTGATCTCGTAGAATTTTCTGCAAAGTATTCGCATACGGTGTACGCGAAATACCGTGAAATTTTTGTTTCTCCTGTTATTTCTCTTTAGAATGCTTTTAGTAAGGGTTTATCGAACGAATTTTCGTGTTCCTTTCGACGTATCGATATATGGAAATGGCTTAAGAGATGGTGGATAAATGTGTATATATATATATACGTATATATAAGAATGCAAAATAGGTAGGACAACGCATCCAGAAAAGGGGTAAACGCGAGGCAATAAAGTTACTCATGCGGCAGGGTTTATGATAACGTCGTTCGATTACGTGGCAATGTCGTAAAAGTCTCTTCCTCGTCGCCGTTTCAAAGGTTACAGCAGGGGTCTCGCGAGCTAATCTCGAGCCCCATAAATACGAGGACTCGTGGGAGTAACGTCGTCGATCATAGCGATCACGAAACAACGGCCAACCGGGGAAAATTAACACGCTTCTTGTCGAAGGAACCTCTCGTCCGAGATAATCGTGGCGTCAAGAGTTTGCGCAGAACTGGGAAATTTCATACACCATTGCTCATAAGTTTTAGAACTTTAATAAATAAAGTTTAATACGCGAAAGAAAATTTCGATATAATAATTTTGTCAGATAATATATGCGATTAAAATTCATGACGTGTTCTAAATATTCGAATTTCATAAAATAATGAATGAAATCATTATTTATCAAATCGATTAATCCGTTTGAATTTAGAAGAATCAATGAATTATTAGAAAATTATTGATACGTAGATTCATATTACTTTAATAAAAAAGAAATTGGACACGAAAGAGTTAATGATCCTTTAAAATCGTATATAATCCATAATAAAAAAAAAGATTCAATCGATCTTGGCTAATAACAAGAATAATCGAAGCAATCGCGTTAGGTGGTCCACCTTGTACGTCTCGTGTTTCACCGCGTAATTATACGCCGATACATACATTTTCTAGTAGCAATTATCCTTCTTATCATTATCATCGTACGATCAACACGTAATACACCATGAAATGACGTTGCTCTGACGAAAATTAAAGATAATATCGTCTTAATATCCGGCGCCGATAAATCTATGAAAAAACAAGGCCGGCTCCTGGACCAATTAATTTCGTCCGCAGTGGCGATCGCGCGATACACTCGACGCCGATAGAATTTATCATCGTGTCGTGACCGACGACCGGCTCTCAACACGGCGACTCAGATACAAGTTTTTCCAACGGAAACGCGATTATTAACGCAGTGAGAATCAGTCACGGTCCTGATCGGGGATGATTAAAATAAGCTTCGTTAATTAAAGATCCTGGAAGGCTTCGCGATTACCGGAAATTCGCTTAATTCGTCGCTGATGATCCTGTTAACCGGAGATTTTCATTAGTGCGCGAAGAGAGAGAGTAGTAGCCGAGGAGAGCCGGCGAAAGTGGAAATTATACGCAGGCGCAATTAAACATGAAGAACGGTGCTAGAAAGAGGGCAGCCACGATTAACGAGCTCTTCTTTCTTTTCACCCTCTTTTTTTTATATCCCGAACGATTATCCGCGCGAAACAATATCCGAATATCGATCGGATATTTAAAAAATACATAAAATGATTTCTTTCGTAGAATATCTTTCGATTGCTATATTTTCTATAACCAATCTTACCTACGATAATCACGATCATATATCAGTA